ATTAGGGGTTGGACCAGAGAGATCTGAGTTTCATTTGGTTTGGGGAAAGGAGTAGTCGACAGGGCGTGCACCACTTTCTACAACTGTGTCTTGTTCTAGGCAGTGCTTATGTTGCTCTTTTGTGCAGCTCTGAGGTCAGAAGAGTTAGTAGCTGGAGATGGCACTTCTCTGGATCCAGCACTGTTGCGGGTTAGTGACTTTGATTTCTCAGAGGACACCATTGACATTCAGCTGTGTGTTCTAAGAGCTGGCCCTGGGACACTTGTGTTTCATTTGCATTGGGCAAAGGGGCTGTGTCTGTTATTTAGCGGCAGGACGACAGAGAGAAGGACCATTCTTCATTCATGACAAGGGTGTTGGAGTTACAAGTTGCTTACGTTTCAGCCATTATGGAGTTAAATGTTGTTTGTTAGCTAAATAGGATGTTACGTTGTGTAATGTAGTCAATGGTGGGAAAGTTTGTGGGAGTTGTTTATTCTAATTAAGTGAACTGTAACCTTTGTATTGGTCAACTAGCACCTTGTTTGTAGAAATGCTTTGATGTAGCATTCATGTATTGAAAAAAGTTAATGGCCTTTGTGTGAAGTAAAGAGGATGTTCTCATCAAGCAGCCAGAGGGAGGGAGTAGGAACCATCTTTAGCAATGTAGCTGTTAGCATGTTCTAGAGTAGATGCAAGTATGTAACCTCTTATTTTCTTTTTATCCGAAGTACCATTCCCATGTTCGTTTTGTTTTTTTCTAGTAAAGATATTTTTTTCTTTTACAAAGTGTGGCTCGTGTTTGGAATGCATCCATCTACTCTAAATAAGAATCCCAACATAGTGGTAGCAGATCCCAACAAATCAGCAGCAGAGTACGGTTGGTTTATATGTATTCCTCGTTTTTTGCAACACAAAAGAAGCCCACTTGAACTGAATTAGAAAAGGCAGAGAGAGTTCTTTTAAGTTACAAGCTTGTGGCTACAACATTTCACCTACCAGACCCATAAGAAAGCTGAAGGACGCACACAAAGGCGAGCCTCCATTTTTTTGCTGACGCCTGGATGACTGCATGCCAGAGGTGAGGCAAGGAACTACAGCCCTCCAACTGAGAAGGGGAGAGAGAGGAATCCAAGTAGCCCTCCTAGTGAAGATGATGTCGAACACAGGTACAAGCAGCGATGATTCTGCATCTGGATCAGGAACAGTGAGTAGTACCAGTGCCACAGTGCATAGCGCTCCAAACTTTCATATTCCTACCTTAACTACCCAGAACTATAGATGGTGGGTAGCCAGGGTGAAAGCAGCTTTGGAAGTGCATGATGCTGAAGATGTTTTAAGCAAAGATGCCCCTAACCAGCAACCACAGAAACGAGAATTTATAAAAAGGGATGCACTTGGGAGAGGCTTAATTATGAGTTGTGCTTCTGCAAAAGAATGTCCTTTGCTAGTGGATTGTAAGACATCTAAAGAGATGTGGAAAATGCTGAAAGAACAATATGCGCAAAAGAATGATACACAAGCATTATTTCTTAGACAATGCATGCATAGTATTAAATTGCATGAAGGTGAATCAATTGCTAAACACATGGATGAGATTCTGAAAATTGTGTCTGATCTGAGAGCCTCAGAAGACAACCCCTCCAACAGAGAAGTCATTGTTTCTATCCTCAATAGTCTGTCTGCGAGTTTTAAAAGCCAGATAGCTGTGTTACAAGCGCAGACAGACCTGACTGTTGATTTTGCTGTGAATTATCTAAACCAAGAAGGGACTAGAAGTGATCTTTCTGAAGCAACAAATAAAATGTCAGTTCTGAGAGTACAATCTGACAGAAAGGAAATAATATGTGTCATGCCAGAGATACTAACTTGCAGGATCATCTCAGATAAATGTCTGTAAGTTTAGCCAGAATCAGTACGTTCTAAGATCTAAGTACATGGGAAACAGCTGGTTAAGGCAGCAATCCCTAATTAGACTAGGACAGGGATTGGGGAATCTAAGAATAAAGATCCGGTCCTAGAGGCAGAATTCAGATTCATGCATTCTTGATGAAGGAAGACTCATGAACTTGCCTGAATACACAGATCTACGCGTTCCAAGCAAGCCAGGAGACTGAAGGAGACAGCTTGACGAATGCCAGGAGTGCTGCACGTGGCCTTGAAGAAGCCAAGAGCCACGCCAAGGATCTTCTTGAACTGTTCACCGTGAGGTATAGTCTGGGGGCAGGGCTGCTTAGAAGACCAAAAGAGTCTGCAAGCAAGCAAGCTTTGGCGGAGCAAACCTGAAGCAAGTAGCCGAGCCAAAATGGAGGTGGAGTTCCAGGGAGAAAGGAACCACAAACCATTTGTTTAGAAGTAGCTAGCATAGTTAGGATAGGATTTGTCTATTGTCTATTTTATGTGTAACTCCCCTTGTTTGTTTTAACCTCTCCAATTAAACCTTTATGTTTTATAAGCTGGGAGTCTGAATGAATCTCTGTTTATGTGCCCTCCTTGCCTCTCCTAAACTGAGCCTGATAGCCTTGGGAAACAAAGGGGACTCAGGATATCTGAGCACGCTACCAAATTAACCTTGAGTCCCTGGCATATACTGAGGTCCTGAGTCGGAGGACCTACATTGCTCAAAATATAGAGCACAAGTATATGATATGGCGGCAGCTGCGTGATTCTAATCCAGCCAAAATAACGGCTTGTTTAAAGCAACACGCTGAAAAAAAGTGGAAAGTTTCCTTGAAGGCAAATTGGTCTATAAATAAGTTGATGTGGAGGAGTGTAGCAACCTAGCTAGTTAGAATGAATTCTAAAGTGAAGAATGAATCATGTGTGTGTGTACAGGATGATGTGATTGAAGATATTGTAAATGGGGAAGAAGCAGATAAAGACCAAGATAGTAAATTAAGTATGTCTAGCACTAATGAAGAAATAGAATGGAAAGTACTGATGCAGAAGTTTGTAGAATGCCAGCAAAGTACAATGGATTTGTTAAAGAGACAACTTTTGAACAAGCAGGCAAATACATGGGAAAACAAAAAAATTCCAATTTATAATGAAGGAGATGATGTACGTGTGTATCTATCGTTATTTGAGTCAGTATGCAAGTCACATCAGATAGGAGAAGAAGATTACATACAGATTTTGTGGAGTCATACACATGGAGAGTTGGCTAGACTGTTACAACAGGTACCACCAAATGAAGTCAATGATTATCAGAAATTTAAAAGGACTGCTTTACAGTATTTTGTTCCTACAGAGAGTCAGCTATGTCGAAATTTCAGAAACATGCAACCACAACCAGGCGAATTTTACACTGCTTTTATGACAAGATTGATGAGAGCTGCAGAAAGCTGGTGGCAAGCAGCAGGAGTCCAGACAAGATCTACGTGACTTGGTAATTAAAGAGCAATTTCTTATGTCTGTACCCCAGGAAACTAATGTGCTGATGCAGGCAAATAATTCAAAAGACCTAATGACTGTGGCGACTTTTGCAGAGCAGATAACTGCGAGTCAACAGCCAGGAAAGCAGCAACTTTTTGTTGCAAAGTACGGCAGGCAAAGATATGTAAATAGCCAAAGGGGAAAAAGGGATTCTATGGCACGATGGAGTGGAAAGGGAGGCCTAGAAGAATCTCATTCCTCTGGGTTGGAGAAAGAGCCTGTGGAAAAAAGAAAGAGTACTATGGACATAACGTGTTACTATTGTTCCAAAAGGGGGCATACAAGAAGGAATTGTGTAAAGAGACAACAAGATTCTAGCAGAGTAAATATCCAGCTGATTAAAGAAGGAAATGCTTTTGCAGACTTGTTGGGTGTTAAAACAGAAATCTCTAGTCATCTACAGCAACCGGGAGAGAGCTCAAGGTCAAACCGGGAGGCAGAAGACGGGAGGCTCCAGGAAAACACTGCAATCAAGAGTGGAATGACGGTGGCCATGAATCAACTGCAGGTGTTGGACATTAATCAACTCATCACACAGGAACAGCGTGGGTGAAGGAATTTGGAGCTCTTGTATTAAGGACCCGTTAGGCAGATACATTTTTGTTAAAGGTCAACTAGAGGGGAAATCTATAACGTTAGCGTCAATTTATGCTCCGAATAACTCGCAAGTCTCATTTATTGACGCAACTTTAGCGGAGTTGGTGCAATTTCAGGCTGGTGATCTAATCATAGGCGCAGATTTAAACTATGTAATGGATCCGTCTCTAGACAGATCATGGCGTTCTACTAAATTCAGAGCACCTAAGACATCTTCTAAGAACAACCTTCAACTCATCTTGGGAAAGTTTCGCTTGATAGACACCTGGAGAACTCTTCATCCGACTCAAAAGGATTTTACCTACTTTTCGCCCAGGCATAATTCTTTTTCGAGGATAGATTATATATTGATATCGGACACGTTACTTGCACAACTTTCATCCATGAATATTGGCAATAAACATCTCACAGATCATGCCTGGATAGAAGGCAATATAGATATTATAGAAAAGACTGATATAGAGCGTACGTGGGCTTTGGACAGAACGATTTTATTAAACCCATTGGTTAAAGAGAAGATTGGTAATGAGCTCCGACTCTTCTTCCAGGAAAATGCCTCAGTGGAGATCTCTCCTGCGCTGCTTTGGGATACGATGAAAGCGGTAATGAGAGGAGCGTTGATTGCCATCATGTCTAAACTACGAAAAGAAAGGGAACAAACTAGACGGGGAATATTGGATCGCATTAGTGACTTAGAAAGAGAGCACAAGGCAAGAGGCTCGGCTAAAGTATATCAGCAACTTAATTTGGAACGCAAACTGTTGGAAACACTGGAAGTCTCTCAGATCCAGAAGAACCTGCTCTATCTAAAACAGAAATATTGGACAAAGTCGCCAAAGAATTTACAATTGTTGGCTTGGAGGGTTAAAAACAAAGGGAAACAACGTTCGGTTCGATCTTTAGTTAATGGCAGAGGGGAGGAACAGCTTACGGCAAAGAACATAGCTCAATCGTTTGCAGACTACTATGCTGAACTGTACAAGTCTAAAATGCCACGTCAGGAGGAGATAGAACGATATTTGGATGACACCGCATCCTCTCTTGTCCTTGATCAACAGCATGTGGAAATGATGGACGAGCAGATTTCTTTAACAGAACTGATAGGCGCGATTAAACGTCTCAAAAATAACAAGGCCACGGGTCCGGATGGTTATCCTTCTGAATTTTATAAAAATTTTCAAGATATCTTGGCTGGTCATCTCCTAGATACTTTGAATGACGTCCTATCAAAGGGAGTTATGCCTCACTCGTGGTTTGAATCAACTATCTCGGTGATACATAAAGAAAACAAGAACCCGACGGATCCCGCTTCCTACAGGCCCATTGCGCTTCTTAATCACGACAATAAAATACTTACTTCCATCATGGCAAACAGACTGAAGACCTTCATCACTAATTACATCAGCCCAGATCAGACTGGTTTCATTCCGGGCCGACAGATTACAGACAACATCCGGAGGACGTTAGACATCATTATTCATCAAAGAACTGCTAGGAAAGAAACGTTACTTTTGGCCTTGGACTTTGAAAAGGCATTCGATTCAGTGGAAATCCCCTATATTATGTCTCTCCTCCAAAAAATGGGGTTTGGGACTAACTTTCTGAGAGTCATAAAGACCATCTACGCTAAGAACACAGCCAGAATTAGAGTGAACGGATGTAGGTCCCCCGCATTTTCCCTGTTAAGGGGAACGAGACAGGGGTGTCCACTGTCACCCTTGATCTTTGCGCGTGCGATCGAACCACTAGCAAAACAACTTCGAGAGGCGGAGAACTTCTCTGGGGTGAATATCGATGATTATGAACACAAAACGAGCCTGTATGCAGATGATCTGGTGCTATATATTTCAAACCCAACTGAATCCATCCCCTCCATACTAAGCATTCTACAAAATTTTGGTGAAATTTCGGGTCTACGAATCAACCAAGCAAAGTCGGAAGTGTACCCTATCTATGTTAGACCAGAATCGGAAGAGAAGACTCACGATCTTTGAAAATAGACTGCATCTTGTCAAAAGTTTTTTGGTTCCAAAGTTTCTCTTCCTTTTTAGGGCCTTGCCGATTTTCATCACGAAGAAAGAGTTACAAACATGGCAAAACACTCTGACAAACTTTTTGTGGGAGGGAAAAAAGTCAAGAATATATGGAATGATAGTACATAGGACAACAAGATCAGGGGGCTTGGACTTTCCCCTACTACAAGGGTACCACAGGGCAGCGATTTTGACGCAGTTGGTACAATGTCAATATGAAGGTGAACAACAACTCTGGAGACGGATTGAGTCGCTCTACACGGCACCTTACAGTATTCAAGAGGTATCCTGGATGAAACCTGCCGCTAGACCGAGAAGAATTAAAGAAAACTTTTTACTGGCTACTGGCCTGGCTACATGGGACAAAACTAAGAACCTCCTCCCTACCGGGATTTCCCAGATGGCCACATTTACAGGACAGGTTTGGTTCCAACCCGGGCTACTACCTCACGTCTTCAAAGATTGGAGAGCTGCGGGTTTTAAAAGGCCGCATGACCTTATAGATAAAGGAGTAATTCGGGACAAACAATTCTTTGACCAGAAAATAGGGAAACAAGTGCCTTGGTATGAATATTTACAATTGAAAAATCTCATTGAACGTCTAACAGGTTTAGGTACTTTTAGGAGAGAGCTTACATCTATGGAGAAAATTATTAAATTATACCCTTGCTACCCGAAAGGCATATTATTTAAATTATACAATGTGATTATTTTGGAGGGAGGTCATCAGAAACTTAGTTGCCAACAACGATGGGAAGAGGATTTATTGGCTTGCTGGGATGGAACAGACTGGGAGAAGGTGTGGGCCTCACCAGCTAATAACTCGAATGTTTTTAACATTCGGCTTCAATTTTTTTAATTGTTCTCGAGGTGGTACATGACACCGTGTAAATTACAGAAGATAAACATGAACAGTGATCCACGCTGTTGGAAAGATTGCAGGGAGGTTGGTACCTTTATTCACTGCTGGTGGGCATGTCCACGGATGAGTAATTTTTGGGAGGACGTTCAGAAGGAGATCGCTGACATAACTTCGATAGATCTTAGTCTTAAGCCTGAAGTGTTTCTGCTGAACTACTGGGATAATGATATGGATACTAGGAACAGGGAAATTATCTCGATGCTTCTGGCTGCAGCGTGTTTGACATTAGCGTCATGTTGGAGGTCTCCTCATCCTCCAACGATAGCAGCCTGGCATGAAAAAATATGGGATCAATTTGTGATGGCTAAGATAGCAGATAAAGTACATAGAGCTCAAATTTTACGGTCCTCTAACCTCAAATTTGAATCAACCTGGTTCCCAATATTTTCATTTCTTACTTCACGGGGCATATTGCCAATAAATACCTGTTACCAAAAATGGGTTCTGATGTAACATACTAAGAGTCGAAATTTAAAGGATGCTTTCGTTATTTGTTATTATTATCTCTGGGGCTTTAAGTTCAAAAATACCTGAATGATGTAGGAATGTCGAGTGTTTATTATTGGATTCTTTGCATGTTCTTGTTTGCTTTGTTATGAAAAATGAATAAAGAGAAATTAAAAAAAAAAAGAATTTGGAACAGAGCCTGTTATTGTGAACCATGGTCTGTTAATTCAAGCGACCAAAGATTCTGGTGCTGACATGTCGTCAATTAAGAAGAGTTTGTTATCAGAGGTACAGTATAAGGATCTGATAAGGGTGGAACCTTATGAATGTACTACTCAATTCCTGTGGTTAAGGTACATGTTAAATTCAGAGGATATGAGGGAGAACAGTATTTGTTAGTACATGAAAAATCTGAATATGATTTTGTAATAGGTGCTGACTTGTTATATAAAGCAGCAGCAGTACCAAACGTTCAGATCCCTTTACTTGAGGATGAGAAATCACCCAAGGTAGATTCTGTTGTACAAACTGAAGGACAGAGTCAGGAGGTTTTGCAGTTTGGAAAAGGGGTGGAGAAAGTCTATAGAAAGTTTAACATTCAGGATAAAGTCTTAATGTTTACTGCTAATGGTGGGTCATTGGGTTGGCAGGGCCCTTATGAAATAATAAAACCTCTTTTGAATGACTATTATCTGGTACAAGAAGGTCTTGAAAAACAAGGACCAAGGAAGGTTCATGTAAATCAATTGAGGACATATGAAGAGAGAAGGGAGGTGATGCTCCCCTTGCGGATAGGAGAGGAGATAGAGATCCCTGAGGTCAATCCGGAAGAAAATGATATAGAGGAGGTTCAGATAATGGAAAATCTTACTCCTCAACAAGAAATAGAGCTGAAGGATCTATTGCAAAAGTTTAAACCATTGTTTAACCAGGTCCCGGGGAGAACAAATATCTTGAGGCACCATATAGAGACGGGAAACCACAAACCCATTAGAGTGAGTCCATACCCCCTAAATGGGCCTATGAGGGAGGTGGTAAGAAAGGAACTCCAGCAAATGATAACTTGGGGGGTGATTCAAGAATCCCATAGTGATTGGGGAGCTCCCATAGTAATGGTGCAGAAAAAGAAGATTCGGGAGGAAGATCCCCCAGAGTACAGGTTATGTGTGGACTTTAGAAAACTTAATAAGGTTACAAATTTAGATCCTTATCCGACACCCAGGATAGACCAGATGGTTGAACAATTGGCGAGTGCACAGTATATCTCTACTTTAGATTGTAGCAAGGGTTACTATCAAGTTCCTCTAACCCCTGAGGCCTCCGAGAAGACTGCTTTTGTCAGTCCTTTTGGACATTATCAGTTTGTAAGGATGCCCTTTGGGCTAAATGGGGCAAGTAAGACTTTTCAGAGACTAATGGATAGAGTATTAAAGGGGTTGACATATGCATGTGCTTACCAAGATGATGTGTCAGTTATGTCAGACTCCTGGGAAGAGCATCTTGTCCATTTGGGAGTAGTTTTGCAAAGATTGAGGGATGCTGGGTTAACAGTGAGAGCCCAGAAGTGCCAGTTTGGCGGCAAAGAGGTCACCTATCTGGGACATCGGGTAGGTAGTGGTAAAATTAAACCAATGGAAGCCAAAGTAACTAGCGTCTTAGAGTGGCCAGTGCCCGTTAATAAGAAACAGGTCCAAAGTTTCATAGGGATGGTTAACTACTGTAGGCGATTTATCCTAAACTTTAGTGAAAGGGCCCCTCTTACTGATCTTTGTAAGAAGGCTGCACCTGATAAAGTAATCTGGACAAGGGAATGCCAGGAAGCCTTTGATGGACTTAAGCGTGAATTGGTGAGGGCTCCAGTTTTGAGTCCACCTGACTATTCTCGGCCCTTCACGGTTCAAGTAGATGCCTGTGAGAGTGGGGTGGGGGCCGTCTTGACACAAAAGGATGAGAACGGGGAGGTGCATCCAATTATTTTCTTAAGTAGAAAGCTCCTCCCAAGAGAGAAAGCTTATGCTACCATTGAAAAGGAGTGTCTTGCCATCGTATGGTCCCTGAATAAGTTACGTCCATATCTGATGGGAGCCAAATTTCGTGTCCAGTCTGATCATAATCCTTTATCATTCTTAGATAGAATGAAAGGGAAAAATGCCAGGATTTTGAGGTGGGCCTTAAGTTTGCAGGACTACCTGTTTGAAGTCGAGCATCTAAAAGGGAAAATGTTGTTGATGACGCGCTGAGTAGGCAATAAAATGAAATATAGAAGTCTGTCTGATAACCAATTTGTTCTTCTGTTTTCTTGTAGCAGGTCTAATAATGTCGTTAGTTAGAACCTGTATGTATTAGACAGAAACATGTAAACTCTGATGTATTTGTATAATTTTGTTGGAAATGGGCCTAGTTTGAGAACTAGAGAACATTACTTTGAAAAGGGGCATGTCATGCCAGAGATACTAACTTGCAGGATCATCTCAGATAAATGTCTGTAAGTTTAGCCAGAATCAGTACGTTCTAAGATCTAAGTAAATGGGAAACAGCTGGTTAAGGCAGCAATCCCTAATTAGACTAGGACAGGGATTGGGGAATCTAAGAATAAAGATCCGGTCCTAGAGGCAGAATTCAGATTCATGCATTCTTGATGAAGGAAGACTCATGAACTTGCCTGAATACACAGATCTACGCGTTCCAAGCAAGCCAGGAGACTGAAGGAGACAGCTTGACGAATGCCAGGAGTGCTGCACGTGGCCTTGAAGAAGCCAAGAGCCACGCCAAGGATCTTCTTGAACTGTTCACCGTGAGGTATAGTCTGGGGGCAGGGCTGCTTAGAAGACCAAAAGAGTCTGCAAGCAAGCAAGCTTTGGCAGAGCAAACCTGAAGCAAGTAGCCGAGCCAAAACGGAGGTGGAGTTCCAGGGAGAAAGGAACCACAAACCATTTGTTTAGAAGTAGCTAGCATAGTTAGGATAGGATTTGTCTATTGTCTGTTTTATGTGTAACTCCCCTTGTTTGTTTTAACCTCTCCAATTAAACCTTTATGTTTTATAAGCTGGGAGTCTGAATGAATCTCTGGGCAGTAGAGACTGTTTATGTGCCCTCCTTGCCTCTCCTAAGCTGAGCCTGATAGCCTTGGGAAACAAAGGGGACTCAGGATATCTGAGCACGCTACCAAATTAACCTTGAGTCCCTGGCATATACTGAGATCCTGAGTCGGAGGACCTACATTGCTCAAAATATAGAGCGCAAGTATATGATAATATG